CAACCATTCATGCCTGAATCCCGTGTCCGTGCATCCGTCTGTCTGAAATTCATTTCTGCATACGTCCGTCGGTGCATCCACTTGTCTGTATTCATTCGTCTGTGCGTTTATCTTTTGTTCTTCTTCACGGAACCTAAAACGCACACACCCAAGCCCACAAAAAGAGAGACTGAGAGAGAGAGAGAGAGAGAGAGAGAGAGAGAGAGAGAGAGAGTAGCACACGCATACACGCATTCACATCAGAAGCTATGCGCATGACCTCTCCCACACGTACACGTATTACTGACATTGGCAGTCACACCATATACGTTGAAGCCTGGCCGCTAAGCTATCTCGAAGCCCCCCCCCCCTCTCCCCAATACAAAAATTCAGAGGCCTAAGCCCTCCCCTAACCTACCCCCTCACCTAACCTACCACCCTCCCCTAACCTACCCCCCTCCCCTAACCTAACCCCCTCCCCAAACTCACCGTGTATAGAAGATTTCCAAGTATCTGTTTAATATGTTCATTAGACAGAGTGTGGATCTGCGTGCCATTCAGCACAATGTATACATATATATGACACTTACATATATATTTATATGTATAAATTAGACATATATGTTTGTAAAAAATATATATGTATGTACATACACCTACACACACACACATATGCGCGCTCTCTCTCTCTCTTACTCTGTCACACACACACTAACACTCTCACTCTGACACACTCACATTCACTCACTCACTCTCACACCCACACTCACTCACTCACTTACTCACTCTCACACCCACACTCACTCACTCACTCACTCACACTCACTCATTCACATACTCACTTACTCAGTCACTCACTCATTCACTTACTCACTCACTCTCACTTACTCACTCTCACTTACTCACACTCACTCTCTCACTCACTGAATGACTCACCCACTCTCACTCACTCATTGACTCACTCACTCGCTCACTAACTCATGCAAGCAAAGTAGCATTGTACAAAATGAAAAATCTTACATGCAGGCTTTCGCTTTGAAATGAGACTAGAAAAAGAATTCCCAAGAACTATACAAATATTGTAAAGGTATACGAAAAAGAAAATCATGGTCAGTTGTTTCATTAGTAACAGTTAAATTGTTTGAAGCGGCAGAGATTTGATTTTATCGACGAATGATGAGTTAGGCAATGATGTCCTGAAAGAAACTGAATCACGAAGGGAACCGATTGTCCACATCAACAGAAGAATGCCACAAGCAGGAGAAAACTGGCGTACATCGTAACGGTGGGAAGTTGAGGAGGGAAAAGAGGAAAAAGGGGACGCGGGAGATGCTGGACTGTTTGACGTCATGACATGAAAGAACATTTGTGTCAGAAATGATTGAAAGTACACGAGGCAGAAGGTGGTGGATAGATACGACTACCAACGAAACACGGCATAGACTATAGGAAGGATGCAGACAAACACACCCTAGTATAGAGGTATACACAAACGCGGGGACATATGCATATGAATGTTTACTGGCGAGCACGTATATATATATGCTCAGAGAGATGTATGCACACAGTCAGACACTCAGGCACACTCACAGAAATACACATATAATTACACTTAAAACACGGTACATTCATAAGTACATGTAGACGAATGTATAAATTGACACTTAAAAAATACACGCATACGTTTGTATAGATTTACATGTAGCATAGAAAGATCAGCTATATATATATAGCACATTCATAGATACAGATACATAAACTGCACATATAACTTATTTATAATTACAAATATCTGAAAAGTGTTTTCCGCTTCATATATTTATTCTTCGGTTGTCATCTTATTTCCTTTCTCTTGGCACTCACCAGCTGTAAGCTATGGTGGAAAGTTCTGGTTGTTCGTCCACTTCTGTACGTTGGTCTTGCTACAGAACTTGAGTTTTGCGTGCACTTCTGTTTTGCAGTACTGGCTTATTATTTACTTGCAGACTGTTGGCTATTTGTTTCTCAGGCAGATACCAACAACTTTATATATAGAAAACGCCCCTAATGAGTCGCCCCTTCCAACATACTGTTAGGGTGGGATTAGGGGGGGGGGGGGTTACTTCTCTCTCCGAGGGATGTTTAGATAAGGTATTTTATTATGTCTTCCACTGCATGTCTTTCACTGCATGTCTTCCCCCGCATGTCTTCCACTGCATGTCCTCCACTGCATGTCTTCCATTGCTTCTCTTCCACTGCATTTCTTCCCTTGCATGTCTTCCACTGCATGTCTTCCACTGCATGTCTTCCACTGCATGTCTTCCACTGCATGTCTTCCACTGCATGTCTTCCACTGCTTGTCTTCCCCCGCATGTCTTCCACTGCATGTCCTCCACTGCTTGTCTTCCACTGCATGTCTTCCACTGCATGTCTTCCACTGCATGTCCTCCACTGCTTGTCTTCCACTGCATGTCTTCCACTGCATGTCTTCCACTGCTTGTCTTCCACTGCATGTCTTCCACTGCATGTCTTCCACTGCATGTCTTCCACTGCATGTCTTCCACTGCATGTCTTCCACTGCATATCTTCCACTGCTTGTCTTCCACTGCATGTCTTCCATTGCTTCTCTTCCACTGCATGTCTTCCACTGCATGTCTTCCACAGCATGTCTTCCACTGCATATCTTCCACTGCATATCTTCCCTTGCATGTCTTCCACTGCGTGTCTTCTACTGCTTGTCTTCCACTGCTTGTCTTCCACTGCATGTCTTCCCTTGCATGTCTTATACTGCTTGTCTTCCACTGCTTGTCTTCCACTGCATGTCTTCCATTGCTTCTCTTCCACTGCATGTCTTCCACTGCATGTCTTCCACTGCATGTCTTCCACCGCATGTCTTCTAATGCATGTCTTCCACTGATTGTCTTCCACTGCATGTCTTCCACTGCATGTCTTCCATTGCATGTCTTCCACTGCATGTCTTCCATTGCTTCTCTTCCACTGCATGTCTTCCACAGCATGTCTTCCACTGCATGTGTTCCACTGCATGTCTTCCATTGCTTCTCTTCCACTGCATGTCTTCCACTGCTTGTCTTCCATTGCATGTCTTCCACTGCTTGTCTTCCACTGCATGTCTTCCACTGCATGTCTTCCATTGCATGTCTTCCACTGCATGTCTTCCATTGCTTCTCTTCCACTGCATGTCTTCCACCGCATGTCTTCCACCGCATGTCTTCCACTGCATGTCTTCCACTGCATGTCTTCCACTGCTTGTCTTCCATTGCATGTCTTCCACTGCATGTCTTCCATTGCATGTCTTCCACTGCATGTCTTCTACTGCATGTCTTCCATTGCTTCTCTTCCACTGCATGTCTTCCACCGCATGTCTTCCACTGCATGTCTTCCACTGCATGTCTTCCGCTGCATATCTTCCACTGATTGTATTCCACTGCATGTTTTCCACAGCATGTCTTCCACTGCATGTCTTCCACTGCATGTCTTCCACTGCTTGTCTTCCACTGCTTGTCTTCCACTGCATGTCTTCCGCTGCATGTCTTCCACTGATTGTCTTCCACTGCATGTTTTCCACTGCATGTCTTCCACTGCATGTCTTCCACTGCATGTCTTCCACTGCATGTCTTCCATTGCATGTCTTCCACTGCATGTCTTCCACTGCATGTCTTCCATTGCTTCTCTTCCATTGCATGTCTTCCACCACATGTCTTCCACTGCATGTCTTCCACTGCATGTCTTCCACTGCATGTCTTCCACTGCATGTCTTCCACTGCATGTCTTCCACTGCATGTCTTCCACTGCTTGTCTTCCACTGCTTGTGTTCCACTGCTTGTCTTTCACTGCATGTCTTCCACTGCATGTCTTCTACTGGATGTTTTCCATTGCTTCTCTTCCACTGCATGTCTTCCACTGATCCCTACAGCTTGGTTTCTTGTGGAATGCCAAACCGTGGATGTCTCTACTGTGTGTAGAAGAGCATGTCTTGAGCACATATCCTGTATTTTGCGCTGCCTGTCCACATGGGCAAATGTTCTCAATCCTTAGTTTTGACATTCTTGTACATATTGATTACCATGCGTGTTTTTAGACCCTTTACCGTAATAGGCTGGGTGCATCATCATCGTCATCTTGTAGCAGATCCTTAGCAGAATATCCCTGTCGTCCCGGCACCCCGGAAAGTCACATTCCCGCCTCGTGAACTTTCATGCTCACGTTGTCCTCCATATCATGTGTCCACTTTCGTACTAGTCGACCCCTTCCTCTTCTCCTTCTAACAGCAATAATTCCCCCCCCCCCTTTTTTTTACTCCCTCCACTTGTCTGTTCCACTATTTTCCTGCATTACTTCCCTTACATTTCACTCTATCTACACACACATTATCAAACCTGTCAAAGGAAATGTATACATATCGAATCCGGACACATATTCCAAACAGGAACTCTCACGGGTGCCGTATCTTCTACTTCGATCCTTCTATCGGAAAACATCTATCGGGAAGCCAGTAGTTCTGGTGAAATTGACCGCACAGTCCAAGTATCCCTGTGGGTCAACCTTTTAGTTGATACAAAGGCAAATAATAGATACAGTGTGAGTCATAAATATGGTTACCTGTTTAATTGCCTTGAGAATATGGCTACAGAAATGAGACTATTGAAAAGCAAATCTTGAAACTAACACTCACAATGCAGAATCCCTTTCTCTTCTTCTTTTTCTTCTCCTCCTTCTGCTTCCCTCAAAGCGGTTGTCACGTTGTGTTGTAATTTTCAGTAGGCTTGCGATATATGTGCCTTTCGGTCCAATACATCAGATTTTCAAACTTCTAATTTATCGCACTTACGATATTCTTGTTCAGGGGCACTAAGACCTCCCCCCCCCCCTCCCCCCTCCCCCAGCCAAGTAGAAAATACTAATTTAAACTGCACATCATTTACATCACAATCGAAAAGTCACTGGTTTGCTTCTTCATACACGCGCACTGGAATCTGTAGTCGCATTTCTGACTCACCCTGCGGAGTAATATTTGTAGCTATTTACACGAAAGATTTGGTTTGCTCATGCTCCTTAGAACCGTCATCAGCGGGCGATCTTCTAAAGACGACGCGCATAAACTGTTGCCGGAATCTTCTGGAACAGAGGAAGAAGACATAGAAGTTGCACGAGTGCTCAACAAACATAAAAGTCAGAGCAATGACGATGATGAGGTACATCTGAGCCTGCTTCTCGTCAAATATGTCTGTGATGACCCTCTCGGATGTCACGTAGATATATTCCACTGCGGTGTAAGGAATTGTCAGCAGAACGAAGGTCACCGACAAGGCCAGCATCATGAACGTGTAGCAGCTTTCAATTTCCTTCTTCTCTTTGGCTCTTTTCGCTTGGATCTCTGGGGGTTCGTGGTGTAGTTCTGACGTCGCGTTGGATTTTCTCGGGTTGCCGGTGAAGGTTAGCGTCATGCTTTGGCGACTGACAGACGTTGTTACCCCCGGAACGTGTTTGTCGTGTTTGATGGCTACAGCATAGGCGCTGTGCTTGGACAGTCCACTGATCGACTTGGTCATGGTTGGTGTGTGGTGACCTGTAGGAGTCAGTCCTCCTATCGGCGAATGAAGAGCAGCCCCTGTAGGCGTGACTGCAGATAACGGCGTTTTATACCCGTCCTTATGATGATGATGATGATGATGGTTGTGTTTTTCCCGCTCTTTTTCCCGAAGCTTTCTATCCCTCCTTTGTTCCTCCATTGTTCCTAGCAGTAACCATATGATGATGAACACAATCAACAAGGGAAATGCTGTGTAGAAAGTTGTATAGATCACAAGCCAAGCGATTCCAAAATAGTGCATTTTTACGGTAACAATACCGCAGAAGGAAGCCATTAACAGGGCTGTGACAACGGCATTAGCTTTCGCCCTGGGGACGGTCAGGTAGATGGAAACTTGAGAAGGATATCGCAGAGCAATCAATCGCTCCATAGCGATGTAGACTAGAACCCAGTTGGCGTAGACGCTTGTGAAGTAAGCAATATTGAAGTAGACTTTCCAGATCACCGAGACGTATCTGCTGTTGATCACCACCAGTTCGTACCAATCAATGATCCTGATAGAAGCCAGGAGGCACAAGGAAATGGAGTCCATTGCTGCCAGTAGCTGAAAGTGGAATCTAGCTACAGTGGCCGGAAATGACGAAACGGTCAGAAAGATGAACAGATTTCCGGGAATTCCGGTGATCAGGGAAAAACACACCGAGGCTTTGTCGAGGATATCTGCCGTTGCCCTCAGGGAGGGGTATTCCCCGTCAGTTGAGTTATTCATTTTTGAAATTCAGAATTATAGAAACAAACTTTACGAGAACGTGATCACTAGTTGTGGTATCCCATTTTAAGAACTCACTGCACAGAATGACGTAACAATGTTGCCTTATCCACTATATCTTTGGTTGACTGCATACACTTGTTCTGTAAATAAAAAAAAAAGAAAGGAAACAAAATATATTATTATCGTATCAGAAGGATTTATGCATAAATTTGTGATTTCAATGACTCTTCAGGCTCTAATCATGCAGATTGCTCAGGTGTATTGAGAGACACATCCCCACAACAGTTCTTGAACAGGAACACTCAATGAGAACAATAGCGAGTTGACAATTGAATGTTTATTACCCCCAAGAAGTTCCTCTCAATCAATTACCAGAGATTAGTTGTCTAGGAAATCGCTAATGCATCACACATCTAATGACTATGACTATCGTTGCCCAAGGATTAGTATTAATTTTGTGGCATCAGAACTCGAGTCGCCTCATCCCTGACATAGGCTAAATGTATGTTTGAACAGAGGACGTAGCTTCTATACAAACGAGAGCCAACATTCAGAACCACCCTGTCTCAGAGTAATTGAGGATTTTAGGAAAATAAACTGCCATACTACAGTTGCCTCGATCAGATGCTGAAGTTCAACACGCTTACTGTACCTGCAATTCCAGATTACCTCAAAACTGCGTTAACCGAAAACACATCAGACAACACTACCTCCATTTCAAATTGTCATGAAGTCATAGCCAGGTTTGATCTCAGAGACGGGCTGTTGGCTTAGCTGTATTCAAACGATCTCAAAACACATTCACCTCAGGCGTTCATAGCGACCACCAGACCACTCTCTTCCCGGATCGAAAGCAGGACTGAGCTTTTCTCATTTGCTCAATGTTAAAATCATTCTCTTCTCATTCACTCAAAACCTCTGCTCACAATTTACATTTTTTTTTCATTTGGCACGCTGCAAACAAACTGCACCAATCTACCGCCACCGTGACTGCCCCATCACCCACCACCACGACCACCACAGTGGGATGGCAGCGACCACACTAGGAAAGACCAGTACAATATCGCGGCTCCCACTTAAGTCATAATTAACTGTACTATTATTACTCTATTTTAACTGGAAGTGATGAGAAAAGTAAAATTTAAAATGTACAATAAAAATGTATCGCAATTTTTTTTTTAGCGAGGGCTTGAACCCAGGACTTTCTGCGTGTTAGGCGGATGTAATAACCACTACACCATAGAACAATTGTGAGTGTAATCTAAAATACTAAAACCACTATTTTGAAATATTGCAAACAGACTCGTGTATTTGCGTTATATAGGCAGACAATTCTGGTTGTTCGTCCACCTCTGGCTTTAGGTTTGTTCCAGAAATTAAACTTGTTGTGCACATCCTGTTAACAGATTATCTGTACACAGAAACCTGATTCCTTGCCTCTCAGTTACAAACGCATAGTTCTATTTTTAAAGTTTTTGTTTTTACTCTCCATACTATTTCAGTAAGACTTAATATTTAGCTACCATTCAGAACTTTATTGTTATGATGAAAAATTAGTGAGCGGACAAACTGGCAAGCAATGCACCAACGCATGTGGGGAAAAGCATGGATAGAGCAGATATCGTCAACACTGTACGGACGGGGCTAGTGGATAATGACAAATCTCTGACACTAACACGACGGCGTGACATGGGAGTAAAGCATGGTGAAGCACGTCTATGCCGCCTTCGAGGCAGAGATAGGAGACATTATAACCAACTTCTCATGGGAACAATTAGTAGAAGTATTTTAGAGTGGCTGCTGCATCGGAGGACTGAGCATACATTGTAATACCCAATGTGCAGTGACGTCGACTGTGATAAAATATCTTATTATTATCATTAATAGCTTCTTTTTTTTTTAAACCATGAACTCACTATACGTTCATTAGTTTATTCAAAAAACAGTACGTTTATGTATTTTTTTTTACCTCAGATTGTTGTTAAATAAATTCACGACTTGTAGGACTGAAAGACATTTATAAATAAGAAAAGCCACTTATTCTTTAGAAAATTTTTAATGGACTCAACCTACTCTCCAATGATATTTGTGTGGATACGCCCTTGACTGGCATCTATCCAGATTTGTCCCCGTTGTTCTCACAAATTCAACTGTCTCGTCCAACTGCTTTAGAACACCCAAGAGGGTAGAATGTTTTGCCCTATTCTTGTGTTCTTCCGTTATAAATAATATTCCCCTTCCACATTTATTGTAGCCGCCACAATGTCAAGGGGTAGGGGTTGGAAAGCGGTTCTGACTGACAAGGGATTGTGGTTTCTATGGCAACAATGCTTCTGGCTCTTATGCAGTTGCCTTTGCAAGGGGGGCTGGCGCAAAATTTTGTGGTTTACTACTACTATTACTTCTTCTTCTTCTTCTTCTTCTTCTTCTTCTTCTTCTTCTTCTTCTTCTTCTTCTTCTTCTTCTTCTTCTTCTTCTTCTTCTTCTTCTTCTTCTTCTTCTTCTTCTCTTGCCTTTCTAGCCCACAATGGAGCTCTCAAAAACTCACGCCAAGTGGTTCTCTATCCTTCGCTGTTGCATGCAGTTCTCCCCATGTCCTCCCCATCTTTTTAACCCCACTCTCAACTTTCTTCTACATGCGTTTTTTGGTCTTTGTTTATGTCTATGCTTTTGCGGGTTCCAGTGCAAAGACATTTTAGTTATATTGTTTTTGTGTTTTCTCAGCGTATGTCCTTTCCATCGCCAGCGTTTTTTCTTCACCTCTTAGTCCACTGGACCTTGTTTAGTTCTTTCCCAAAGCTTAACATTAGTGATTCTATCAGACCATTTAATTCCCTCTATTCTGCGCAAGCACCAGGAAATAAATGTCTGTAGTTTACATTTAGCAAGCGATACATTTCAGTCAAGCCGATTTCAACACATCGATAGCATAGAAGAGCTGCAGGAGTTTCAAGGAAAGACAGAATACGAAATCACGAAACCAGACGAATGTTAGGAATAAAGCCAGTCTAACAGGTCATAAAAAAACAGCAAATAAAGTAGTTTGGACACCTAACAAGAATGCCCTGGTGCTATCTACCACAGCGAGCCATACTAAAACGTTACATTGGGTATAGAGCGAGTGGAAGACCTCGCAGAATGGCAATGATGGCATTAAGAACAGTCTTATACAAATGAACATCAGTTTTAATAGTGCTCTTGACAGAGCTTATCAACGCATGTTACATCCCTGCCCCCACCTCCATTTTTCTTCGTTGAGGTACAAGGTGGAAGAGAAGAAGAAGAAGAAGAAGAAGAAGAAGAAGAAGAAGAAGAAGAAGAAGAAGAAGAAGAAGAAGCTAGCAAATCGAGTTTTACAACATGCTTGTTAGAGACAGGCAGTGCTGGATGGTTGATTGATTTGTTTCAAGAACCGACATCACAGCACTCGGGGCATTCCCATAAGCGCCTGGTCCCCATCTTCAGCAGCCAGCGAAGATTTCCAATACTAATGGTGCCAGTAGCATTCTGATTAAACGTCCGTCTTGCCTTTCCTCTGAGCCCCGAGCATCTGCCAGAACCTCTCGTCACTTCCTCCTGCATCAATCTCACCAGACTGGCGATCCATCTGCTCCTCCGAACTGTACACGCTTCCCACAAGACACTAACCACATCTACCTTCTCATGTATCAGTAGGCAGTGCTGGATTTAATCATAAGCTAAATAACCTAGGCAATCAGCAGGGGCCTCAGCAAATTCCTATTTGTTCCCCCCCCCCCCAAATGCAGTTCCTTTTAATACATTCAAATTGCAATTTCCTTTTAACAGAGCCTTTTACCGGATTATATCATATAATTTATGTGATTTTGCAAACAGATAAACAATAACATACTTCTATTATACACATATATAAAGGGTGTATATATTTTAGTGTCGGCGTTTGTGGCGTTACGAACGCGCTCTATAATGCCGGGGTGCCGGGTTCGATCCCAGCTGTGGGCCTTGCGCCTTGCGTTGGTTTCGACAGTGGTATCCAGAAGCCGACCGTCTAGAAAGCAATGGCAAACTACTGGACGTAAACGTACCTAGAAAAAACACAACAGCCCAAAAATGCTGGGGTTGGTTCTGCAACGTCCTGTAAAGGATACGCACCTAACTATATATTTTAGTTTCCTGTGATTAGCTGATGTAACTTAAAATGTAATTTCAGGTCTAAATCCGGCCTGGAAGCAAGGAATCTATTTTGTGCTGAATGGCAAATTAACATATTTCAAATAGGAAATTTCTGAACACATCTACCTTGATTCTTTATTAGTTTAAACCAGTGTTTCCCAAACTGTTCTTACTCGCGGCGCTCCCCTCTTTTCCTATGTAACTAGAGTTCAAGGGTTAATTTCTAGTTAAAACTCGCACAATTGCGGTCAAGATATACACGAAACAATATGCTTATTAACTGCACTTTCAAATAAAACGGGACAACCGACGGGAACGCCGAGATACGGAGAAAAACGGGTCTGTCCTGGTAAAAAAATAAAAGGACGTGTGGTCAACACATCTTTTGGGAACCTTTAGAAACTTATTGCTAACGTGTCAGTTCATGGGAGCAACACATGGTAAGCTTAGCAAATGAAAGGGATCGAGACGGAGAAGAAAAAAAAAAAAACAATGTCCCAAAAAAAAAAAAAGTTAGTTACGTTTCCTTTACAAAACGTTGCAGAACCCATCCAGCATTTATTGGCTGTTGTGGTTTTTCTAGACAAATCGTCCGCAGCAGAAATCGAACCCAGTACCCCGATATCTGAAGCGCGTTCTCAATGTCTAAGCCACAGATGCCTACATGTGAAAGAAAGCGAACGTAAAAATCGCTCAGTAAAACCAGAAACCGCCGGCAAATGATTGGGTTGTTTTGAAACGTCCAGTAAAATATATGCAATTACAGTTTTGTTTTTTCTTTCCGCAGCAGATTAAAATTTAAAGAGAAAAGAAAATGACGACGATCCAGTAAAAGACATGGCACA